TTGAAAGTTGCGGACAAGTTGCTACGGACACACACGCACACACAAACACACACAGACAACCCCGTATCAATATGCGTTTTGTACTGCTGTTACACAGCACAAAACGCATAAAAATTAGTTTGCGATGCGTTGATAACTTATAACAATCTAATGAGCAAACAAGATTGTTCCAGAAGTACTGCAGTCAGTAAGGAATCCCCACACTGATTGTCTTGATGGTACTTATAAAGTGGAAAGTGGCTGTTTGTGTATTAACTTTTCTTACTGCCATACCAGATTTTAGTGGAAATGGCCTCGCAGACTAATATGCTAATACATCGCTTTCGGTGCTTACCAGGCCATTACATTTTGCAGGAAAAAAGAAAATTACTTTACGGGATGAACTAGGATGTTCTGATCTGGGTTGCATTTTAAGGAAAAATTTAGCACTTATACGCAATATTTCAGATATTTCGATTTTTGTTCCTCCCGGTTCAATATTGGCAGTTCTGTGCGAAGGCAGTTATCTCATGAAATGGCTTGAGCTGGAGCGTGAAGGCTGTATTGCCGGTGTGGAAAATCTGCTTGCCAGTGAGGACTGTTGGAAGAATCGCTATCAAAACCTCTCCGATGTCGATGTGGTAATCGCTTTGTTAATTTATTCAGCCACCATCTCTTCCTGTCACATTTCGTGCCGGCACCATCTCGAGCCTGAAAGTATTGCGTGTGGAACTGACAAGCGTGGTAACTAGCATGTTACGTCTACTCTCGGGCTCGAGCAATCAGTCTGATTCCGCTGTTGGGAAACCAATATTTTTGCGAATTTTTGATTTTTGCGTTGACAGACTGGCAGTTAAGTGCCCAACGTGCAACGGAATTGAATTGCCGCCAGTTTCTTGTAAGCCGATTGCAGCAACCAGGTTGACCGTGGAAGCCTAAATGGCGAAGACGCGATAGTGTATCCGTTAGCCCTATAGAATATTGTAATTATCTGCCAGACCCGGCACTGCGTACTTTGATAATGTCATTGGGCCGAGAATCTCTCTCTCTCTCTCTGAAAAGGAAGAGTGAATTGCAAAAAGGGTTCTCATTTTGAGCACATAACAGTTCAGCCGATGTCACATCTTAACTGATATGCTGTGGTGTAGAAACAGTAAAAGAGGGTTTATTTTAATCTTAGTGCCGCCTATGTCAGTGGATCGAAATACCCCTGGAAGGTGTCGGGCCAGGCCAAAATAGGACGAGATTTATTA